TTGAAATTTTCTTTCCTAGAATAATTTATTTTCACATTTTAATGCAAGAGCCAACTTTCATTGCCCTTCACCACATTTCTTTTTCAAAAATGTTAATTAAGATCAGTATAATCAAGAAAATAATAAAATTCAGAGAAATATGGGAAAAATTATTGCATTGAAAATCCCCTGCTTGATAGAACACACCAATTTCATTGATTATTAAACGTATCTTGGAATGATATAGCAGACTTGACATACATTCTTGTTTTTGTTAGCTCCGCTGTCGACTTATGAGTGATTGTCCGTCGCCGTCCGTTGTCCATGTCAATGTTTTATTTTTTCGACTTCTTCTTGAAAACTACAAGCCTGAATGCTTTGATACTTGGTGTATATGTACCTTGGGTATACCTCTCTTAGATTTGTTCATTTCATGATGATCTCTTCAATTCTCTAATTTTGGTGAATATTTTTGTCATTTTTGGTAAAAAGTGATATTTTCGACTTGTTAAAAACCGCAAGTCCGATTGCTTAGATATTACATATATAGGTACTACATGTGGACCTCTCTCAGATTTGTTCATTTTGTAATGATATCTTTAATTCTCTAATTTTGGTGAATATTTTTGGTAAAAAGTGATATTTTCGACTTCTTGTTGAAAACCGCAAGTCCAATTGCTTAGGGTACTACATGTGGTTCTAACTCAGATTTGTTCATTTCAAGATATCTTCAATTCTCTAATTTTGATGAATATTTTTGTAATTTTTGGTAAAAGGTGATATTTTCCACTTCTTGTTGAAAACCGCAAGTCTGATTGTTTTGATACTATACATTTTGTTCATTTTCTAATGATATCTTCTGTTCTTTAATTGAAATGTGCATTGCTAACAGTGGAGCTATCTCAGCCGACTGGCTGCTTGTTTCAATCTAGCTGTCTTTTGTAAAGTATAATAACAAATCCTGCTGATATTTTATTATTTGACAGTAATCCTGATTGCTTTTTTGTTTTTTTCAGGTAACTATACAGATTCCGCAGAAGAACTCTTAAGTCTGGTGTCTTCATTCGTGGCTTGACAATACACATATCATAATTCTCTCAAATATTTCTAAAATCCATAACTGCTAACTGTAGAAGTTATTAATTATTAATTATGCAGAGTATATTTAATTAATTCATTCACTGTCACCACAACAAACCAATTCTCTTCATTTTTATAAATTTCATACTGGATGGAACACGATGTTTATATTGGCCATTGAAATAACCTAGGAAGATTTTCAGTTGACATCTATGTGCCCTAGGCTTGTTGATTGGTTGGTTGGATTCAACTGCCATTGAAGGGAAAATGAAGAGAAGAAGTTTCTTGTGTCAATTGTATATGCTATTATAAAGAAAGGAGCTCATCTGAAATAACATTGATTATGAAAGTGAATATAAAATTCATATCGTGGAATCACTGCAGTTCTAGCTTGCTGTGCTGACATAGAATTTTTTGAGATTTTGTAAACATGTAGTGACATTATGTGAAAACATTATGCACAATCTGTAAATTGTTAACAACACAATCCATGTAAACATGTAATATGTATACATTGTTTACAACACAATCCATGTAGTGGCATTATGTGAAAACATTATGCACAATCAGTAAACATTGTTGACAACACAATCTATGTAAACATGTAGTTACATTATGTGAAAACATTATGCACAATCAGTAAACATTGTTGACAACACAATCTATGTAAACATGTAATCTGTAAACATTGTTTACAACACAATCTATGTGGTGACATTATGTGAAAACATTATGCACAATCAGTAAACATTGTTGACAACACAATCTATGTAAACATGTAGTTACATTATGTGAAAACATTATGCACAATCAGTAAACATTGTTGACAACACAATCTATGTAAACATGTAATATGTATACATTGTTTACAACACAATCTATGTAGTGACATGTGAAAACATTATGCACATCAGTAAACATTGTTGACAACACAATCTATGTAAACATGTAATCTGTAAACATTGTTTACATCACAATCCATGTTAACATGTAATGACATGTGAAAACATGCACAATCAGTAAACATTGTTGACAACACAATCTATGTAATCTGTAAACATTGTTTACAACACAATCTATGTAAACGTGTAGTGACATTATGTGTAAACATGCACAATATGTAAACATTGTATGGCAGTATACATGTTTACTATTGATCCTTGTTGATTGAGTGGGAATTCATTTTATAATGTCTGCTTTAAACTAATGTATGTTATATATTGTGGTGGGGGCACAAAATTCAGTTATTTTTGATAACCAAAAATAAATAGCTATATTAATAAAAAACTATGATTGAGTTATTACAATCAGAACTTTAGTTTCTCTGAGTGACTGTGAAGCTTGGAAGAAGTATGTGTAGGTACTCTAAGTTATGTAAACCAGATATTTATCAATCAAGAATTTGAATGTAAAGTTAAATTTAATTCTTCAGAAAATCAATTAATATTGTCATTTTTATTTGCCATAAAATATGATTGATAAGCTGCAAATTTCTGTAAAAATATCCAGGCTGACTGTAGACTAGTGTATTGTAATACAGAAATCCTTTTGAATATTTGTGACCGGTAGCCATTATTCCACAATGGGCACTGATTTGTTTCCTAGTGGGGGGAAGCAGATAGTCTGATATGCATGCATGTTCCACCATCAGCTCGAGAAACATTCAACGAAACTTAGTACATAGATGCTCTGGAACAATGCAGACCTAATTAAAATCAAATTAACTAATTATTACCTAGTTTTTAATGTTTTTACTGATGCCTCAAAAATTGTTCATCAAATTCCAAAAACCTTGGTACATGGGTGTTTTTGGATAAGCTGCCGATTTAAAACCATGCATATTAATTACCTTCTTTGCATATAATTGAGGTATGAACTATGCATAACTGATATATTAAGCACTAGTGTATACTACATTGTTCAGCTTAACCGCTGAGGCCAACCCAATTAGTATTTGATGTAAAAGTGTTTGGCTTATAATTTCAACAAGGATGACGTTCTGATGTTATCCTTTGTTTAATACATGTACAATAATGTTGAATACCAATCATTGCATCAACAAAAACTTTAAAAGATGAAGCACTGCAATGCCCTCATTCATAGGGCTAAACAATATTTGTTCTATTAGTAGCATATGCTTTTTTGTGAATGACAGCAGTGTCTATGATGACCAAAAGTAATATTTGAATTTACCCAGAATGCAATTGATATTTTACATGCGTTTCTAATAGAGCAAATATGATAATTAATGCCTATGTGGTGTGTACCAATACCAAAGCATATTGATGCTCGCAATAGAAAGGTGGAGTTTTGTATTCGGGGTTCACATTCCTGTTCCTCCATACATAGCCTGAGTGGCAAACTAGGCTAGGTAATTGCACGTCATAATTGCTTCCCAAACAACATGAACCTATACTAGTAGTAGGCTAGATGCATTAGCGGCATCAAATTAATCTTCATTGTGTCCAGCCAATTTCAACATGTGCATACACAAAATTGGTTGATAAATTCTCACATAAAAACAAAATCGACCACCAAGGTTCCTCATTCAACCTGAACAAGTTTCTTTGCAATTTCTCAGTACCCGAAGAAACATAATCCTAGTTCCATAAAACAGATCATCAGCCAGGATGCCTGCCGGGCAATTCAAAAATGCATGGGTGATGCATTATGATTATCTGTAATTAGCGAAACTAACCTTTTACTGATTAAAGTCCCGTTATTTTCGGCAAATGTTTTATTAAGTTATATACACTACTGAAAGGTGAAAATACTGGTCAAGTTTCGTCCGAAAGTTGTGAATATTGTACGTGTAAGACCCTTGTTACGCTGATTACAGATTTTTGATTATTAGCGAAATGAACCATATACGTATTAAATATTGTTAATTTCGGCAAATATTTTGTAAATATTGTGGGTATTAAAATCCATTTTCACTGGTTAATTTTCATTACGTGTGTTATCCCGTTTCGTTTCTTCGATTGCGGCTCCATCTATCCAGCCAACATCCAAGACCAGTCTCCGCCGCCGCCGCCGCCGCCACCACCACCACCACCACCACCATCAGCAGTCAGCTAGTCATGACCAGCACTGCAGCACCACAAAGTCGAACTAGCATATAAAATCGTGTGTTCACATCACCCACAGCTAGCGAAGAAACCAATATATAAGGGAATGACCCGATGGACAGAATATTTAGAATGATTGCGGAGTCGTTCTTTCCAAATAATAACCATGTAATGCCGAAAAATGAAGAAACGAAAGTGATGTATCCGAGATAGAATATATAGCAAAAGAGATGCTACAAAATAAGCTAGCAATGACGGACCAGATAAAGTCAATTAAATAAATTATCAAGTCGAAGTTACCTCTAATCCAAATTTCATTTCTG